CTTGCTGTTCCTCTTTACTGTAACTACCATAGATTGTTTCTAAATCTCAACACAATGATGTGCAGCCAGGCTGTCTTGTCCCAATTAACAAGATTTAACAAGAGATGCTGTAGCTAAGTCTCATTACTGTTAGGCAATACTCAGTTGCATTCTGAGCTTCCTACTGTGCCACACTAATGATCTGAGTAGTAGAACTGAGTGAAAATAAAATTATCCAAGTATGTTTTGTGTGGCATCTGTTTCTGGGTCTTCTGTTTGCAATTGTTTTCACTTGCTTTCTGCCTTACAAAATTAAGAAACCCATTATTTTTTACTTCACTTCAGATCTTGATGAGTTGATTATCAATAAAGCTTAGCACAATCTAGGGAAAATTCTGTTCATGTTCACAAAGACAAAAGCAGAGTATGCATATCCAGCCCTCTAGACACATGGTCATCAGTGCACTTCAGGCCCTACTAATGTCTCCTCTGGCATCCAGGTGATATGTGGAAGAGGAAATTGAATTCAGCTGCTCCCTTCTGACTGGCTGATGATAACTCTTGTCCCACCACACTGTTCATGAAGTGCTTCATTACAAATGAAGGATGGAGGTTGTTGAGGTAGGCTCCTACTAACAGCCACCAGCCCTGTTTCTGCTTTGGGGGCTTTTGCATGGCAGTCCACAGGATAAACCATCACTGCTTTGTCTTCCTGCATGGAGGCAGGGCAAACAGGTGTCTCGAAAGCACCGAAAACTTCCCCATATTCACCCAGCATCACTTAGGCCTGCAATTTTCCCATCTTTGAGTTTGAATCAATTTCCATCAAAAATAAGTAATTCTAGTAGTCCCAATCAACCTAAATTATTCTGTGTATCCAACTCAAGCATACTAAACCAGACTGGGGAATGACCGCACAAATTCTTTCAGCAGCAACCACTGCTGAAAGTACTATTTACTTAGCATGGATGGAGGCCCAGTGACAGCACCCTCCTCCAGCACCACATCTTCTGTAAGACTCCACCATCTCCACAGCCTCTCGTACTGCATCCTAAAAAAACGCAGCTGCCTCACAGTTCCTGACTTCCCACTGTCCCCTGGAGCATAAGTTCTTGGGGACAGCAGTTATGCCATAAAGTCCAGACTCTTGCTGCACGAAGTGGCTGCCAAAAAGGGCAGGTTCTAACACCTCCGTGGAGTCACAGTGAGCAAGCACGGCAAAACAGGAGTCAAGGTAAGAGTCAAAAATCAGCTCCTTTTTTGTAGCCATGTCTTACATAGTTTTTATTTTGCCTTAAAGTTGCTATTGTAGCACAGTGGGTTGAAAAAACCCAAGAGTGACCACTAACAAGCAAGCGTAACATAGGAAAAAAGAATCAAATTGAGTACAAACTCTCCCATGTTATGTTTTCTGTATTTTTGGATATAGTCTGCTGTTATAGTAGTAAGACTATTGCTATAAGCATCAGTTTTAAATATGATACAATCCTACAGAATAATCTGACATAACAGTTAGAAATAACACCTGCAACTAGGCATGAGGTTGTATTGATTAAACACATCTTAGACTCCCCTATTTTTGCATGAGGTAGAGATACACCCAGTGAACTCTGCTTGGGACAGAAGGTGCATTTAAGGGCTCTGATGCACACCAAGCTTATAAATAGGAACCTAACCTTTACACAAAGCCTAATTTGAACAATAAGGTGCTCCAAACAGCTCTGCATAATACCAAAAGGCACCTGAGTCCTCAACACCAGTGCCTACATATACATGAAGGCTTTGAGTGACACCTTTACTCCTGAAAAACAGCTCGATACTTAACCTTACACACAATGTGCCTCAGAGTTGCAAGATGGAAATACACCATTTTTGGAGCAGGTTTCAGCCTTTAAATGAAAAGCAAATGTGATTTTCATTGCTTTTATGTCATCTGTGACCCTGCTGATGGGTTTCACAATGCTGAACACTGTTAAAACTTGGCCCTAAAGTTGCTCAGACTTAACAGCTTGCCTACATGTCTGATCTCTTGCTACAGCTGTGACGCAGGAAAGATGCTGCCACCACCATGTAGCTATGATATTTTATTAAAAATCCTTTCCTACGATTTTTTCCCTCCTGAGAGCTGAGGGCCTCAGGAAAGAAATGTAAACAATAACTATCTGCTGCTGTGGAATGCAACAGGTGCATCTTCCATTGGTCCATGTGGATTGTTTTCAATTGATGACCAATCACAGCCACCTGTGCCAAGGCTGTGAGCAGTCACAAGATTTTGTTATGCATTCTATTCTGTTCTTGTTCTTTCAAGCCTTCTGACGATTCTTTTCTCTCTGTTCTTTTAGTATAGTTTTAATGTAGTATTTCAGTATAATATATAATATAATAAATCAACCTTCTGAAATGGAGTCAAGCCTTGTGCCTCCACACATGGGGTATTCACCTCAACAATGTAAGGACCTTTTACCAAGAGTTCCATCAGGGTTTTTTTGTGTCAGGTGCTATGCTTGATTCTTCCAGAGCTGCGGAGGCCACTTACCTCACTCAGTCCAGAATGTTTCTGTTTCTACAACATGAAAATAGTGACATTCCCATCTTGCTAGCAAGCTGAATGCATGCTTTGAGGAAATCTAGTGCTCAATCCACAAGACCATTTGTACATGCAGTTCTACATGTGAAAAGTCAGAAGGGATGAAGGGATGAAGAGATGGAGGCCTTTTCTGCCTCCCACCAGCTTAACCTCAGATAACATCACTGCTGAAAAGAAACACTAAGAGTGATTTTATTCACACTGCCTCAGCAACCAGAGAGGGACACAAACAATACAACAGGTTACAGGAGGGATAAGGAGTATATGGTAAAACAAACATAAACACAGTACTTCAGCCTTTGCACTGAGCACGGGATACTTACCTTCTTCACATTTTGTTTTCCTAGAATTTCCTTTCCCAAATAGACTCTTGTTTACATCATAGAGTAAAAGCCAGTTGCTACACTCATAATGGTGAAAGATGGCCTGAAGATCTGGCAAAAAGACTTTCAGTAACTTTTTACTAAAGCCAAGCACAGGGTGCTGAACTGCTCACATCCACCAGGAACACTGGCAAGCCCCAGCCTGACCTTCAGCCCTGGTGCTTCCCACCACAGCCAGCAAGTAGGAACCTGTAATGGATGTAGTCTGCAAAGCACATTTCAGTTCATCCAAAAATAAAAACCAGAGGTGCTGGCTGTTCCCTCCATTTTGTAGTGTCATGCAACTTCTCTGCGAGGAACTGAAGTTCTTGTTGAAAAGTCTCACCTCATTCCCAAATCTTAGTACTCACTTCACTGAAAACAAATCTCAATGAAAAGGACTTACCAGTGTGAATCTTTTTCTCTTGACATGATGACTAGATAATATCTGTGAATGACATTCTGACACTATTAAGTTCTTAGGACACTCTGTGATGTCATTCACAGCTTTTTATAAAAACTGCTTATTAGAATAAGGCAAGAAATGTCACCTGCATTTGCCTCCAGCCCACCAACTGATGGCTCTTCTCTTACTGGAAAATTTAAGTTAAAGATTTGCTGAATTTTGCACAGCTCATTATAGAAGATTAGAAATACCAGTGAGATTCTCCAGCATGTGATAATCATCTCTTCAATGCATTTTTTTAAAATACCCAATTATTGCCATATTTAGATTACTCCCTGGATTACGAGCTGGTACTTAATTACCATGTTTCACTGGTGCTTATACATCATTAAATCTGCAACAAAGACATATTACTTATAATTAACTTTGCAGTAGGTCCAGTATCAAAGATTCACCTCTCTAACTCAGTTTTACACATCAAAAATTGCCTAATGCATGATAAATAATGCAGGCCCTGTTTATTCCATGCTGTGTGCAATTTTGTGCTGGAATTACAAGACTTGTGCCAAAAACATCCTTGATTCTCAGGCTTCAAGACAGTAATTGGTACCTCACATTCACCCCTTTTTTGCACCAATTAAAACCTGCAGGTGCACTAATGCTGTCATCTGGAATCTAGCTGGTACATCAGAGGTGCTTTTCACCAAATGCGTGCTATTAATAAAATCAGCCCAACAGGGGAATTGTGAATGCTTCGTTTGCTGTTACAGTGCTCTCAAGGCCTTCGAAGTATTTTACTAGTGCCAAGACCAGACAATAAAATTTTACCTTTAAAGTAAACACAGGCTGTCATAAAAACTTACATGCAGTTGGAAATACAACTTTCTCACTCACTCTATGTATATTTGAAACAGGCAAATTCTATCTTCAGGACCACCTGAGATTTAAAGGCCAGACGTGACTGTTAAGGTCATCTACATTCTCCTGCTGAACACAGATCACAGAAACTCTTTATTTCTCTTGAAAAGCACTCTAACTCAGAGAGAAAACTGGCTTAAAGAAATGACAACAAATTAATGACACTCACCAATCTTGATATAGGTAGCAGAAAACAAGATACACTGATGTCAGTACCAAGAAATGACAACAAATTAATGACACTCACCAATCTTGATATAGGTAGCAGAAAACAAGATACACTGATGTCAGTACCAAAAATATGCATTAGTTTAAAAGGGCTGCTATTTCACTCGGAGTTCCACAGAAGGAAAAATCCATGTGTATGTTCTAGTGACAATCTAGCGCTACTCAGTACAAAACCATGAGACAATGGATTAAAAGTACCATAGGCACTGATCAAAAGTTCCCCAAACTTCTTGTTGTAATTGTTTGGGGCTTTTTTCCTTCCCACTGTACTAAATGATGGGACTACAGCAGGCATCATGGCGCTACATGCACGGCAATATATCTACTTTTATGAGGAATAAACACCACTTTAAGTGATCTCTCAGCAATACTGATTGAACCAGAACTCAGAAGACTGACACTCAACAGAACTCCCCTCTTCGGCCTCTACCAGAGAAATGTCAAATCTCTCAATTTTTTTATTTAGCTTTAAAGGTCACTCCTCATTTAAGACTCAACAGTAGTCCCACTAAAAATGTGCTAAATTTTGGGTAACTCTTTAATCATTGAAAGAACTATTCTTTTGCAGCATACTTTACAGCTTAAGAGACTTAACATTGAAGCAGGAGGGCATCCAACACTTAAGTGAAGACAGGTTTCTGTTCAAAAACCTATGGCACACAGCCCTGACAAAGTTTACTTCGGTACCAAGTCCTCCACACCTGAAAAGGTATTTTGTCTGAGTACAATGCCTGAAGTAATTAAGGGATTAGTGTGTCTTTACAGCACAACCTGATTTTGCAAATAGCAGACACAACCTGTACATTGCCAAGTGGAGACCCTAAGAGGAGTTTTATTTTTCCCCGAATATGATGAAGACAGTACTACATCTAAATGGATTTGGGCAGACAGGTAGTCCTAACAAGGCAGTGAGGGAGTGAGCCCATGGCATCATTTATGCACTTCCTACCACCTGTGGAGGTGCAATGCTTGTACCAGACCCTTGTTCTGCATACAGAAAAGAAAAAGGACATTCCCTCTATGCTCCTAGGAGGTGTTCGCAGGGCGTGTATAAAAATACCTGTCCCCATCCAGCCCCATACAACTCTGGGTGTCAGTTTTACAGAAATAAATCAATAAAATGATACTTGAAGATGCCTTTAAATAGTTTGCTCAAATTAACAGTCATTGAACTGAACAGAAAAAGTTAAGAAACAACTGAATTTTTAACAACTTTCCTCAACTAGAGATGACCATAAATTTTACAACGAACAGTGTGCACCTGGGAGGGAATTCTGTTTTCAAACATGCAAAACTGATTAACTGGCAGCACTTTGGCTGAATACATTTGCACTCCTCACACGGGAACACATTGTCTAACACTCTCAAACACTCCTTATTTCACCATTAAGCATGTACAGAATTGAATAAGGCAGAAAAACCCAAACAAACATAAGTATCAATAAACATAACAGATTGTAAAATTAATACAGACAAATGCAGTATTAAGTCAATCATGACTTAAACTCCGCATGAAAAACACAAGATTTGATTAACTTCGTGGACTTGAAGATTTTTATATATATTATTTGTAAAGGGGTGTGGGACAAGATGGCCACCAGAAAACTGAAAATTAATTCAAAATGCAGTCCTCTTATCAATTAGTAAGAGAGGGTAGATTTGGCTATTTTTCCTCACAAAATAGAATTTGTAAATGTCATTTGTGACTACAGGAAGTTTCCTTGAAACTCTGGATAACCCTGCTTATACTGCAACCACAGACAGGGCTGCCTGGGGGTAGGAGGAGAGAGCACATCTGCTTATTCCCTCTACCTGCTGATTTGTCAGCACCCGTGCTAAAACACACCTGAATACACCGAAGCTGGGTCACCAACAGCTACACTCCTGCATAAACCAGGCAGGACTCATCTACATTTTGGACAGGGTTCTGTTCTGTTGCACCAGGGCTATGTTGCAGATATTGAATTGATTTGTAGGCAGATATTGAATTGATCTGAACATGCTCAGAAAGACTAAGATCTCAAGCAGATTTTACAGTTAGCTGTTTTCACATGAGGTAACTCGGATCAGAGTTGACCACCTAACTTCCAAACACCCAGATTAAAACTGGATGTTAGCTACACATCTGTTCAATTTTTTTCCAATTCAGTGAACTGAATAAATTACAATCCTGCCATCCCATTTAGAGTATTACCAGTTTTACCCTGCTTACCCTGAAGGCCCCAGTAAAGCCTCGAGGGGGCAAAAGCAGGAAGGACAGACTCTAAAACATCCATGAAATGTTGTAATGTTTTGTTGAAATGAAAGCTTTAGTGTTTTCAGGACAGAAGAGGTCTTCATTTTCTGCAGGATTCCACAGCTGCCAAGAGGTCTTGCAAAATGCTGTTTCTGTTTTCCTTACTAACCTAGAGAAAGAGAAATTAAAACTGATGTAATTTCATGAATAGCTTCTATACAAATGTTTACTTCAAAAACAAATCAAAGCAGAAATTCCAATGCATTTCTTGTTCAGTGCAGGAATGTTGAGTGTCAAACACCTGCCTTCTTCTGCTACTGAGAACACAGTATGCTAAACCCACAAAAGCCGCAATTGAATTTTTAGTGATCTTTTGATTTAATTGCCCGTGGTATTTTGCAGTATTATTCAGGACTTGAGTAACTAACAAGAATCACTCAAAGAACCAGCATGTACTTTTGTCATTACCAGAAATCCTTTTGAACTACCAATTTTACTTTCCTAATATAAAGTTGAGTTCTTATGCCTTCATTACTTGAAAGGGATGTATTTATTAAGATGACAGACCTAGTCAAAAATACCTGCAAAGAAAAAAAATTGAAACAGTCTTAGCAGCATAACTCCGTACTCTGAGAAACCTTATTGCTACAGGAAAGAAACACCTTGGAAAAGAAATAAAACTATTTGAGAAAGCTGGGTTGTTCTGTAGCACACTGAGATATGCCTTTGGCTGATCAGTCCATGGGAATGCTGGGCTTTAAGTCCAGAATACGTGAATACAGATGACTGTAAACTGCCAAGCAAGTGCTGGTGCTTGCTAGTCAGCTCAGTTGCCAGGGACACAGAGCTGAGGGCTGTGTGTGTGTAAATTATCCCTTCCTGACAGACTGGGTCCTGATCCAGAGCCCTGTGACCCACAGTGCCATGCATTACTCACTCAAACAAAACCTGGGGAGGTGACTGGGGTTGTAAAGGGATAACAAGTGACTGTGAAGCATCAGCAAAAGCTTCATTTTAAAAAGTCTAAGAAATTCCCCCCATTGTTCAGATCCCTGCAGAGAAGGCAGGAAGAAATCAGACAAAGACACATGAGCAGAAAAAATAAGTAAGGGCACTCACACAAAGTTGTGCAAAAGCTGTTTCGTGAGGAAAGATACACAACACCATGCACAGCACAAAACTCTCTACCAGCAAGGTTCCACTGCACTCCCTGTATCTGCATTTAGGATGTGAGCACAAGAGTCTGTATCCCTTCCAGTACTACAGTCAATAATGAACAGGAGAAAGTATTACTATTATTATTATTGTTGTTGTTAAATAGGTGACAGTTCTATCTGAGGAATTTGCCCCAAGGAGCTACCACTATTTCCAGTCACCCACATCCTATCCAAGTGCTGTAAACCAACACTATAAAACCTACAGACAGTGGTCTCACCTACCAATGAATTCAAGACAGCAGATCAACATGGGACTAATGAAAAAGTGACACTGAAAAAAAAAAAAAGAGGGCAGGGAGGAAGAGTAATGAAAAGGAAGATCTGTCTGAAAATGTCACTGTTTTTACTGAGAATCAGTGCAAGCTTTATAAGATAAACAGAAAACCCCACAAAGAGAGCAAGACAAGAAAGAATGCGCTTCAGTAAGGCTATTGGGACTCCGAGGTAAACAATACACAGGATTGATGAGCTACACTAAATCTCACAGCAAGTGTACTGATATTCTGACTTTCAAAGGACCTTCTGCACATTTAATAGCTCTTCCCACTCCCTCACAGCCAACAAAAACAATTCTACATTTTATCTATCCTTTTTCCATACCTATATGCCAGAAGTCCAGTGAGAGCAGCAGAGAGAAAGCTCCAAGTGCTAGGAAATTTTCACAACTGTTTTACAAAGGCTGTTTGATAGATATAAGTCTCCTCTTAAGATCTGGAGACATTCTGTGCAGGCAGCTTTCCCAGAGAGAACAAATCTCCCAGTATCTGTACTGAATGTACAAACAGATGGGTATGTTTTTAGAAAGGAGCTGAAGATAACTGTAGATGCTGCTTATATTAAGCATTTATGTAATTTGGAGGAAATTGCCACCTAGACTCCAAGCAAGCAACTACAGACGACAAAAGCTTTCTTCCTCTAACTGTTAAAAATACCATCAAGGAAACCACTCATGTACAATCTGTTCAAATGGAACCTTTTCTTCTCCCTATCCATTTAACTATTTTCTTTCTTAATAGGCATATGCAACCACACTTCACTAATGGGTTTCATGCAAGCAAAATTAATAGATGGGAAAATGGAAGAAAATTAGTATCTGCCAGCTGCTAAGGATAACCTGATCCTATTCATGCCACTATGTCTGCAAAACTACACAGACGCAGGCAGTGCAAAAAGAGCCTCTGCAGTTTCACTGGAAAGTTTAGTTCTCAGCAAAATGGAACTGGGTAACAATACAAACAAATGTGTTAAACATCAGAGCTCCTATCGTTAAGTGCCCTAAACATAATAAATTAAACATTTGGGACCAAATGCTGAATTGCTTTTAGGGCATCTGGGCCCACTTACACCAACAAAATATGCTTTCAAGACAGAAGGGACTGTAAAACACCAAACAGCTGTTCTCTCCACAGAACTGTCCTTGTGACATTAGGAGCAGGATGAAAAAACTGAGATGAGCTATTTGAATGCAGCCTAACTCCATATTAAGTGACAAAGCAGGCAGAATGTTTTTGGAAGTTAGCCACCTACTTCTGTACACTTGCAGGCACCATACAAGTTAGTAAGAAATTACTGACTGTGCGCTATTTGGGCACTCCAGGCTTCCCCATGCCACAGCCCTTGAAGCAAACAGCTGGTGACTCAGTATCCACTTCAGCTACTAACACCTCTGACTCCCCACGGGCAGGTTCTGGTCCTGCTCATGCACACATCTGAACCAGCTGGGAAAGAGCATGTAGTGTGTCACAGGAGCACAGATGCTCTCCTGTACAAGACTTCAGCTCAGCAGGTCTCTGACACCTGGGAATGACTGCAGTCTGTCACACATTTCACATCTATGCTTTTGGTTAATGGATTCACCAGAGATATCTATTTAATTCAAGAAACCTGCATGACCTAATCTCAGCAGCGTGAACAGGATGGGTCATTGTTTCAGTAAAGATCTTTTAGCTAGAGAAAACACTGCTCCATTGAAATTTACAGAAAGACTTTTGCTGGCTGGAGTCAGTAGACGAGAGAAAGATCTATCAGCAGACTGATACAGCTGAAAACCCAGGGCTGAGTAGCCCATGTCCTCCGAATAGCACCTGATAAAAAGAGACAGTAGAAGACTCAAAAGCTTCCTTGAAAAGCCAAATGCTGTCTTCTAGCCCTATTTCCTCTCATGAGAGGACCAAAGGCATGCACTGTATCCTGCCATGACTGCAGCCCAAGCACTGAAGGATGACTGGCACTTTCAGCAAGGCTTCTCCATCCCATCTTCCCCAACCCGTAAAGCTACTCATATAAAATTCACATTTATGTGCATTTCTGTTCAACAGCCTGACTACAAACACACATCAGCTCAGTAGTGGAAAAACCTAGGGGTTTATCTCTGAAAGAAGTGAAGAGAGTTGAATGCTTACGCAAAGAAAGGAATAATCTCTCATCTTTGCTCCTACATTTAATTAAATCAGCATTTAAGGTAAAAACAGAAACTGAAGATGATGATGGGACCCTCAATTAAAGTAAAGCTGAGGAACTTTGAACACTGCAAGTTTTTAAGCCAGCTTTGAATAGAAAACAACATAAATCAGAGGAGTGGGAGGTGCCTTTGTTTTTTGTGAAGCATTGAGGACACTTACTGATGTTAAGGAAACCTCACACATGCACTCCTAGGAACAGGCTGTTTTGCTGTGGTAAGTTTTTGAGAACTGCCCTGTAACTGATCAGAAATCTACCCTGAGACCCTAATATTCTGAAAATTATGCCTGTAAAAGTAACATAATGAATTTCAAAATTGGTTCACTGACTCCAGGGAAAGTACACTCCATTTACAACTGTCTTTCTTCTATAAATCACTCTGCAAACTCCACTGCTGCTTTTTTCCTTTTATTTTTTCCTTGAATATGACTACTGGTAATATTTTTGCAAGCCAGTTTGGAAAAAAAAAAACAAAAAAAGCTTAAAAATCTGACTGTACTTTAGAAGATTTAACTCTTAGGAATAATGAATACCTATGTAGTAATAATACTACAGCAAGGAAACCTTTTAAAATAACTATAGCATTACTTCTGCAGTCCTGCACAAGCAAAGCCAGCTGTGTGAGATGGCTACAGTTAGTGCCAAATGGAATTTTTTTTAATAAGGTGAACACCTGCCCATTAAGAATAAAATGGAAACTAAAAAACTTATTTCATGCAAGCTACCCACAGCTATCAATTGGCAGTAACAGTTTTTAAACAGAGCCAAATATAAACCAGTAACCTAGAACAGAAGGCTCTTTAAGGATATTAAATATTACTCACATTGAACACTTTAACATCTTTTCTATTTCTTATTTCTTCAACAAGATCCAGTGGCTTTCCCTTAGGTATTGGAATAGTTCCAAGCACCACGGTTCCTGAGCCAGCCAGCGTTTGACGAACAGCTTGAATAAAAGCCTGGCTGAAGAGCTCCATTTTACCAATCTCATCTATGACACAAATTCTTTTCTCTGCGTCACCACCATGGTTTACCTGTGGAAAAGTGCACCAAGAGACTGTAAACAGCAAAACTTAGAACAAGCAGCATACGTAATCTCTATGCTGACAAAAGAAATACCTCCAAAAGAAACAAATTCAACTGTAATCCTGGGGAGAGCAGGAAGTCAAAGCTACTGCTGGTAAATGACAGACTATAAATCTGTAATTTCATTTTTAGGACAGATTTTTGGAAGGATGGAAACAACCATACAGTATAAATACAAACTACAACAGGAAATATCCTTAACATGAGATTTCCTTTAAAGCAGAATTCTCACAATGGTCCCATATGAGCTACTTGACAGTTAAGAATTGCACTTTGCTTACAAGCAGCTCTTAATCATTCTGAGGGTCCGCAACGTTTAAAAACTTTACTCTTCACACTAAATTATGCATGTAGTGATTACATTTAATTATGTGATCAGTCGTCACACAAAACAGGTATCTAAAAAGGAAGACTTCCATTAAATCTAGATTTTGAAGTTTCTCCTCTTGTAGTTGGGATGATGGAGCATTTCACTCAGAGGTACTGGCTGTCTTAAAAGCTGTCTGGATTACAACCAAGCCATTTGCAAACCTCTCTCACATTACAGCAGATACATATTGAGATATACCTTATTCTGTAGTCCTAGCCACTGGATAGTAGGAGAGACACAATTAACCACATTTGAGGATTCTGGTTTTCCCACAAAATGAATGCTGTGCCAAGCAGTGCCATGCTGCAGACGGCTGGAGCAGCAGGGAAGTCCAGGAGAAAATAAGGGTGATTGCTATTGAGGAAAAGGCAGCTCACAAAGCAGAGGAACTCTTCAGCTGCACTGCCTACCCTATTTTGGTAAAAGCGACTGAGAACCGTACTCCATTATTTGTGGAAGTGAGGAGAAAATCAACGCAATTCAAAACCATTATAGATCTATGAATATGTACCAATGGAAGCCATATAATACAAAAAAAAAACCCCAAAAAAATCACCCAAAACCAAAAAAAAAAAAAAAAAAAAAAAAAAGAAAAAAAAAGAAAAAGATCGAAACATATCCCCTTGTGAAGGCAAAGTATTTGCTTCTGGAAAAGTGAAAGAACTGTATAACATGTATCTTAAAATCCTTTCAAGCTAAGTCCCTACTGAGCAGCTGTTTTATCTAAAAACCCTTTCATAGATCAGTGAGCCAAAAAGCCAATACTAGTCACTAGGTCACATATTGAGGAAGAGAGTATTTTGCTTTGAAAAAAAAAACTTGAAAAAACTATCTGTCCTGCCTGATAAAAGTTTGCAGAACCAGAGAGATCTTCCACTGCAGGACCTAGCCCATTCTCATTGGAGGGAAAAAAGCCTTAAAGATTTGAATCTGTCTTCAAGCCTAAATGGGCATGTGTCCATTCTGTGCTGCTCTCTCATCAAACCAGAACATATCTATGATGCTGTCCTTCATTTGTCTCTCCTTGTTTCAGTTCTCTCATCTTCCTCACTCTCCTCTTCTATTTTGGGCCATCTTTATGTGTGACCACATTCCCACAAAACTGATAAACAGCACTTTCTATGAGCATGGGCACATGCTGTGTGACTCTGTTGACCCCAGTTCTTCACTTTCTTGTGCTTGCAGAAAGCTATGTAAGTAATGGAAAAATTCAACACTGCTAACACTTTTCTAGGAAGATCTCTCCTGGATTGCAGTGGTAAAAGTATTCCAAGTACAGCACTGGCTTAATGAAGTATTTTTAAATAAACCATCTTTCTATTTACTAACATCATAAATATATGGTTACAGTGAAATTTAACATATAAAAGTTGTCCCATTTTTTTATTACCTCCCTTCTCCCTTGTCCCAACATCCTTGCTTTCCTACTCTCAGACTTCAATGTTCTTTGACAAAAATAAGAATCAGATCTTCAATCTCATTTTTGCTCCTTGCAGCTCTTTGGGCTTTTTAAGTTCACCAAAAAATCCCTTCTTCCTTGTCCCCTTGAGCTTTGGCAGTGTAGAAAAATCACAACAAGATTTTTTTAGTAGTACAGTTCAGCAGCTGCTGCACACTGTTTATGGTATGTTATTGCTGAAATCAAACATGTTCTTGTTTAATTCTGGAGCGGGAAAAGGTTGGAGTGAGAGAGAGGAAGGAGAAGAAAAAAGGCAGTGACAGAATATTAGCAAAAGGATAGCAAAAAGATTGTGTGGGAAGTCTTGTCACAGCCAGAACACTCCTTGTGCAGCAGGCTAAATCCCAAATAATCAGGCTGGTATTACCAGTCTGCAGGTATTTATACAATAGTAATCAAAAACACTCACTGGATTCAAGAAAAAAATGCTTCAACTCTCGGAAGATGGGAATCAGAGGAAGGGGGGGGGGAAAGTCTGTAAAGAAGAGCAGCAGCAGCAAAAGCCTTTTTCTTAGACGCACTGATTCCATCCAGTTCTCTGTGGTAAGCCACTTGTGCATTTTGTTTGTTTTCCAGTATGAGACAGTGACATAGGAAGAAATTTCCTACCTGCTGCCTCTTCAGGTCAAGGAGGTCCTGCTGACAGGACTGCAATCTCTCCAACATCACAATAATGACAAGAGAACACGCCAGATTTGCCACTCGAGCTTCCTGACCATGACTTACATCACAACTAGCAATACCCAAGAAACAGGCCATTAATTAGTATCAAAAACTAGCTGTGTAAAAGGGCCTTCCAATAACACTGACTATCATAAAGCATACATTTATCAGCAGCTTTCATAGAATACTCACATTTCTCAGCGTAGGTAGAACCAACTGCTCAAATGAAACAAGGTCTACAACATATTGTCCAACCCGGTATTCACGTCTTGAAGCAGAAGAATCAGAACTGGGACTGAAAAAGAGATACACAATTCCTTCAAAGTACTGAGTTTAGTGAGAATTCACTGCAGTCATTTCAAGCAAATTTATAAGAAGTTATCCAAATAAATCAAATCCCCTCAATTCTTCCTAAAAATGACAGGAAAGAAATTCTAAACCATGCAGTAAGTCATACTGCAGATAGCTTGCTGTCAGGAAATAAATATTCCATACGCATCTCTCACAACTTTACAAGCTCCAATTTCAACAATCTATAGAAGGACAATGGCATTTAAAAGTCAGCAGGTATATTTACACTGAAATCAAAACTCATGTCTGCAGTTTAGATCTTTGAATTTTGTTATGTGACACTACAGACAGCATCATAGCAATATCATCTTCGTATGGGCTGCAAAACCCTTAATCTGGGAAAAATACTCACTTTGCATGTGCTCTACCACACTGTGCTAGGTGCACCTCCATTATTAGCAGAGTGCAAATTACTTTCACATCAACTCTGTGTGAATGAGGTGCTAAGGTCACACTGGATATAGACCAAGTTTTGCACTAAGTATGAAAATCTAAGTCTAGTGAATCAGGAAAGAGTGTGAGGCACTCTGGGGCTCTGAAACCTTTTTTTTTTCTTAAAATTCAGACGACTTTTGTGGACCAGTCAAATGTTCTTTAAAACAATGCTATATGCAATTTCCCTTTTCATTTTCCACTTCTGTCACCATAAATCAGCTAGTGGAAACATAAAAATCTTTCTCCCTGCCCACAATAAGCTACTTAACTGCATCGCAAAGGGACCTGGCCTCAGTAGTGTTTCCTCTATCTGACGTAAAATAGCCAGTAAGGGAGAACACCCCTGCCAGCACATTTTCAATATTTCACTGTGCAACAGACACTGCCTACATATACAATATAGGTATCAGCCAGGACACAAAAACCAAGAAAAGAATTTGACCCTGAAAGCCATGTGTGCTGGAAATCACCTTCTGGAGGAGCATTTAACATGCTCCAGTCCAAAGGACTGGAGCAGACACATAAAACAATAAGCTGCTTACAGTTATTAAAACTTCAGTACCTGACTCTAGATAAAGGTCCTCGGTTTCCAGACAGAGTGACAACATCAAATCCTGTTCTCCTTCCACCTTCTCTAACTTCCTCTGTGTAAAATCCATCAATGGGAATGCTGGAGGATTTTAGAGCCTGAGTGACTTTCTGGATCAAAGTAGTCTTTCCAACCCCTAAAAATAAAGAACGGAAAAAAGCACACAGCATTAATCCTCTTCTGCACTAAAAGCCCATTTTTTTAAATGCCACAGTAATGATTCAGTTCAGCGGGAACATTGATTACTTTTGAAGGTTGCAAATTACTTTTTCTACGTGGTAGGAGAGAACAGAAGTATCTCTTAACATTCATCCTGTACTGACACTGTAAAGTTTCACAACAGAATGGTACCAATATCCCAGGCTACCAATGAATTTGTTAGCTTAGATGATGCATGAGCAGGCCACAAAACTTACCACAAGGCAGGTGGCACAAAACTGATATTCAAGCTTGCTGGAAGACTGACTGATGAATCTCCCTTTCTACCACTGATATTCACTACTTTTAAGATCAGAGCTAAGTTCACCCCATTTTTAGATCAAAAGGTCAAAGCTGACTGCTATTATCAGATGCCTAACTGGCACGAAGACACACTTCTTCCACTGATGTCCAAGGAATCAGAAGCACTCGATGTCCCTGAGATACCAAGTCCTTACAAAGTCCCAAAAACAGAAAACTGTTTCTTCTGGTAACTGAATCAAGAGACATTTTGACTGGATACAGAGAAAAGCTTGTTTATAGTGAGGCCAATGAAGCCATGACTGAAGTTGCCCAGAGAGGCACATACTTGAATGTTTTCAAGACAGGACTGGATAAAACCTGAGGCAACCTGGTCTGGCCTGATACCTGATACTCCTTTAAACTTCCTCAAGTCCCTTTTGACATGAATTATCTTCTGACCCTATAATTTCAGTTTTTTACCCTAAGACAGGTCCTTAAAACTCTTGCCACCTGATATCTCCTTGCACAGTCTGATGCACCTTTTACAATGTGAACACTGGCCATGTTCCAGACATCCTTTCACTTTTTCTCCTCTGCCATTGTACAAGTACATCCCTCAATGATCTCCTTTTAAACTCACCTTTATTGCCTCTCACAAAATGTAGTGCTATCACTTCATTTTTAACCACTGCTTTAAAAAATTCAGATGACAGAAAATAATCCTGCGGAATAAACCTTCAAATTCCTGGACATAAGGAACACAGATTAAACATGAGATGCCTAAAGATGGTAACAGAAATCATTTAAACATGCACACACCAAATTTCTAAATTAGACTTTAAGCATATTTAGGAACTGCTTTCCTAACAGTCAATACCAATGACAAAATATTCTGTGGCTTCAAAGGCATGTACTCAAATGCCTAAGCAAATTTTTCAAATTTGAAGAAGAGGACTTCCTGACAACTGAACAACAAAAAAATGACAAATGTGGCACCCTCAGTTATCTAACATCTTTTCAAGGCCTTGTCTCTTGTAAGTGAATTTATACTAATTTTGCTAAGTGAATTTGCTAGCTCTAATTTTTTTTACATTCATTCAGTCAACTGCCAAACAAGCTAGAGTGATTCAAACTAAGTTTAAGGAAGCCTGAAGTTAGACATTTAGCTAATCAAAATAGTACATCCAGTTTCAAGTAAATTAAGAGAGACATGACCTAAGCAGCCCTAACCTCTACATCTCCTGAAAGGCTGCCTTTATTCAAATGGTTGGAAAGCCAGTGTGAAATGGGTGGCATGTATTCCTATCTCAGCCCAACAGCTGCATTTTAAATTAATTCCAGTCAAGACACGCATCCGCAAGACGTTCACAAAAAGAAGAATTAGGCCCACTGTTTTACTCCGACAGCACAAAGGAAAGCTCTGCAATCATACTAACTGGTTAATGTCTTCATCAACCGTAGAGTTTGACCCTCATACTATGTCCCCACTCAGCCTCCACAATAATCATATTCCATTACCATGACAAACTACTTCAATCAAGGCCTGCCCATCCGGGACACCAGTTATTACCTGCACCTGCACTTCACTGAGGCTGGAAGTGCTAAATCACTACAATTAAGTTACAGGAAAGATGAGCTCTCAGAAATTATTAATCTCTGCAGTCTATATTGAAGCAGGATTAGTCGTCCAGGAGGTGTTTTTTCCCCCAACACTCCAACACTGAACTCCTGGCCAGAAGCAGCCCCGGGAAATGTGCATGTCTTGGAGCACTGAATGGAGAGGTAAAGCGGCACTTCGTCAGGAACAAACTAATTCCTGCAACAGCTCTGACCTCAACAAGGCGTGGGGGGGCCAGGGCGGGGCGGCGGGGGGGGGCAGGGCCCGCAGCCGCGGAACCTCGGGCGGTGCCGGGCCCAGCTGCAGCTGGAGGCGCTCCCGGGGCATCCTCGGACCCTGGGGCTCGGCAGCAGCCGCCTTCCCCCGGTTCTAAGCGCCTTACAGCCCCGCCGGTGCCGCGGATGGTCTGGTCTGGTCGGATCGGGTCGGGCCGGGCCGGGCCAGGCCAGGCCAGGCCGTATCCCAGGCCATCCCCTCGGCCGCGCCACCGCCACTGCCCGGCTCCCCGGGCTCCTCCCGCCCCATTACCTGGGGGTCCCGTGAGAAACACGTGCTTGGACATGACGCGCTCCCCACTCCGCCCTCACCCCCGCCCGGCACCGCGCTCCGCTCACGCTCCGCCCCAGCCCGGCCCCGCCCGCCCCGCTCCGCTCCGAGCCCGGCTCCGCCCCAGCCCGGCTCCGCTCCGCTCCGCTCCGCCCCGGGCGGGCGGTGCCCCCGAGGCCTCGGGCAGGACGGACCCTGCTCGGCCTGAGGCCGCCTCGGAGGCGGGGCTAGGCGGAGGTTGCTGCTGGGGTGTTTAGCTGAGGATGGTCGCAATCTAGGCTTAGGGAGGAGGGGAAGAAGGGTAATTAGTTTCCTGTTTGACGGCTAGCGTCTTCTTTATCCAGTTAGCTTAACCTGTCACATGTCTGAGTATTTTAATGCAATAATAGAATGTGAAGGTGTGGGAATAAACCTTAAAGATAAGTCCCAAGCCTCCCTGCCCACACCTCCCACTAGACCAGGTTGCTCAAGGCCTCATCCAGCCCGGCCTTGAACACTGCCAGGGTTGGGGCATCCACGGCCACCCTGGGCAACCTGTTGCAGTGCCTCACCACCCTCACAGTGAAAAAAAATCTTTTAAATAGCTAACCTAAATTTTCCCTCTCAGTTTTTACCCATTACTCCTTGTCCTATCACTACTTTCCTGCCAAAGAGTCCGTCTCTGGCATCACTGTTTGCCCCTTCAGATACTGGATGGTCGCTGTAGGTTTCCACACAACCTTCTCCAAGCTGAACAGACACAACTTTTTCAGCCTGCCTTGATAGAGAAGGTGCTGCAGTCATTTTACCGACTTTGTGGCCTCTTCTGGACTTGCTCCAATAGTTCTATGTTCTTATGGTGGGGACACCAGAACAGTACCAATGGAGACCCCTCCAGATGGGGTCTCACAAATGCAGAGATATAATAATAAAGTCTCCCTAGAGCTTTTTACCTGTTTACAGTAAGCAATGTGCTCCAGGGTGTAGCAAACCAGCAAATTAAAAGATGAATGGTTTTGTCTGATACCTCGATGCAGACAGCAAATGTAACTGGGGGGGGGTTGAAGGTCTGGCAGGTTTCACAAAGATGCTGATAGACATCTGCACCCCAAAATGCCATATGCATGTGGCCTGCTTATTTGTTTAGGCTTTCCTGATGGAGAGCAGTAAGGGAGCAGGGAAAAGGAGTTTTCTGTGGAGGACTGTGGTGCACAGGCTTCTGTCTGGGTGAAGTGATGCCTGGTACCAAGAAATACTGATTCCTGCCTGGCCATAAGCACCAAAGTGATTACCCAAAAATACTGAGCTATGGAAGGGATACATTCCAATTTCTGTTCTCCTCACTAGAATGGATCACTTCAGGTTCAGCCCATCGTTGTCAGGCTTTCATTTTAAGTAATTTCTCAAGGAGCTAGTTATCATTTTCACAAAGATAATGAATATCCTTGTCAGCCAGATGAAATGTGCACACCAGCAGGTAGAGTGCACCTCACAGTAGATGGATATTTCCATAAATTGAACAAAACATTTTTTGGCCACTCTTCCTTGTATCCTTTCATATTCTTAGAAGGAATGACTGCATGTGGAACATGTTTCGTCCTTAAATACTTAATTAGAAAAATTGACAACTCTGGCATGACTCTTGGGAGGTCAGAGGGTCAAGAAGTAACAAAGAGACCTTCCCTTGTCATCTAAAATGAAAACTGCATTTTCATAGTTTACATTCCAGTACTTTGTTCTGGTGGCTTTTTAGGATCAATGAAATTGTGATGTTAACTTACAGCTTCTTGTTTGTCAGGCATCTTTCATCTAAAGAGAGAACTGCAGAGAAGAATTGCATATTTGAATGGACTATTAGCACAAGAGCAACACTTGACAACTGGCTACTTCACCCTTGCCCTGAACTTCCTGTGCAGCGCTTACCATGATTGATTTTACAGGTAGGTTTTCTGTATAATATTAAACTAAATCAGTCTGTTGGCTGGTCTCCCAGGCAGGCCACATAAAAGAGACCCAGACAATGTTGTTTTGTTCAATGGCGAGTTTTACTAGGTTTTACAAATCAACCCTTTGTTTTTCAGAAGTGCATGTGGAGAATTTTAAGGCTATCACTACAGTTTGACAGAACCCTTGTTTTCTGGTATTCTAAGAACTCTTTCATCCCATTTTCTAAAACAGGACTCTCGGAGTTATTTCACTGTGTGGTTGGTTAAGACCTTTCTCTTGCAAACAGATATGTAAGCAAAGTAGTTGCAGCACCAGGGCTTAAATTAGTTAGCATTTCACTTTGGTTTCCATTGTAATTTCTACTATAAAATGTTTTCTCTTTCTGAGTACTCTGTCTAGCTTGAAGTAATTTAAAAGCATGAAAGCCAAAAAGTAGTTATGCCAGTTGTGCTTTTGTAGAGTTTTGCTGTTAAGAGGACCTTATGTTTGCTATATTAACTGGAATTTTTATGCATGTTTTGTCAAAGATTTATTGTTTAATATATTTGTTTGATATATTTATTCTATAATCAGTGACTGCATAGGAGATGCAGGTTGTTCAAGGAGTACAAGTTGCAGGGCACAAGTTGTCTTCTCTGTAGCTGTATGCTGGAACCAGTAGTGTTTGGAGTCAGTCTGTTTGCTTTCCTGATCCTGGGATTTTTGCATTCTTGGATGGAGATGGTTAGCTGAAATAAGTAGAAAGATCACATACCCTAGCAGTGTAGATAACTCTAAAAGAATATAGGTAAGTCGGTTTTATTCCTTCCAGGATGAGAAGAACACAGCTTTTCCTTCCTAACCTAAATTTAGTAGTTCCTAAATTTTAGGAATTTATTCCTAAAAAGTTTCCAGTTTATAATATTTTCCTGACCAAGTACCAAGTACTATTTTTTTGTTCGGTGAGGGTGAGTAAAATTCAATTGATGCTGAATTGAATTGTGTGATTGGGCAAGGCCATGAAAGAAATATTTACAAAAAGACACCCTCCGCAGTTCCAGGGGCAGGCTGTGATTCTGGGTGATCTGTGGAGACCTTGGAAGGAGCTGTCAATCATTTTTATGAACTGTTAGCTAAGCCTGGGGAAGCTTGCATTTATTGCTGGATGTTGACTAAAAAAAGTCGGATAGAGTCCTAGACCTTTATGTTGAATGGGGTAAAATTAATTAACTGCAAATTTCCAGACCAGTGACTAAGAAAAGAGGCAATTTATGATATTTATGGTATTCCCTAGAGTACAAGCTGGAAGGAATGAGAGTGTAATCTACCATCTCTGACCTGCCTTAGTCATGCTGAAATGCTGCCCATTTCAGCACTCTGCCTTGGGGTAGGCATAGTACCTCGTTACAGTTTCAGCCCTTGGTTTATCTGGTATTAGGTTTTGGAGTTTTTCCCCTGATGGGAGAGAATGGTCAAGTTGGAGCCCTTTTCTTTCTCTCCAATAGAACTTGTCTTCTTGATTCACAGTACCTCAAGTTGGTACAGCATTTTGCTTGCATCAGGATAGGGAGGTATGCTTTAAAAAAAAATAACACTTTATATTAGAGAGTTCCTTATTTTGTCCTTGTACTCCCCTGGAGAGAATTCTCCTGCTCGCAGATAGTGGGTCTGGTTGTATACTACTGCCCATCTAGTCACATTAGTGATTGTGTTTCAGAGCTGACTGCCGTTTTTGGCCTGTGGAGCAATCATGGCATCAGCAGGTGTCTGAGAGAAAGCACTGAGCTTCTACAGCCTGGCCATCTTAATCTTAAACTTCCCAGAGAGATAAGCCATTAGCTACATGCAGAGCTTCCTCTAGATGAAAACTGTGGTCCTCCTTCTATCAGAGATTTACCTATAGAGCTTTTTTGTGGGGGTCATGCAGTAGAAATCCTTTATGTTCTTTCCATAAATGGTTGTGTCCCCCAAAACTGAAAAAAATCCTGAAAGTATTTCCTGAAAATAGAAATAAATAATAGAAATAAATATATCAAATGTTATAAATAAATATATGGTAGTTGGTGAGTATTTGTGAAATTGAATTTACTATTGTAAGCAACGGAGAGCAACCAACATTCAAAGAATGTAGTCCTCTGTCCCTCCCAGTACAGCATGTTGCACCTCCTCGGCAATTGCAGACAGAGGGGAAAAAGTAAAAAAATCCAATAAGTTGCTGTACATTTTTTAAAACATACATGTCTGGATATAAGAGGAAGACCCTTTTAATGAGTTATGCAGCATAAACAGAATCCTTTTTAGCCAGGAGAGAAGTCACGTAGAGCTCAATCTATAGCACAAATCCATAGGAAACCGGTTTCATTGTTTCCATTCTTAATGCGATATCTTGCTGGTTTGCTGGTCTAGATTCCCACCTCCTACTTCTTGAAAAAGATAGTCTCCCTGAAACTGCATGACATTTTGTATAGTATTCTTAACAGTTTTACTATTTCTAGTAAAGATGCATTTCTATTCTAGTAAAATGCATTCCCTTTTTAAAAATATGCAGTCTAGTTTGTTATGGGATGATAAAACCAGATTTACTGTGGTAATCTGTTATTTTGACAGGGATACCGACCTGAAAATTTCAGATTTCAGCTGAATTCTGTCAGATGTCAATGGAATACTCTGTAGTTGAGGAAGAACATTGCAAAAGAGAATAAATTTAATTGTATTGCTAAATTTTTCATTGCTGTTTTTTAAGGTGTAACAGTTTTGTCAAGCAAATGTCATTCTTGTGGTTGTTGATTTAAATAGGCAGGAATATAAGTGAATTTCTATACTACTTTGAGTGACAGTTGGTGGAGTACAAACTGCTCTACTAAAAAGCACATTAGGCAGTAGTTCTTCAAGACAGTCCAGAGAAACCATAGGATGAAGTGAATTCAAAAATCACAAGAAAGTGAAGCAAATAATCTCCCATTGGGGCTGAGAGAATACAAGGAAAAGCTAAGCCAGTTTGACAAGCTGTAGATATAAATGTATTTAGAAGAATATAATTTTCAGATTTCCACTCCTCAGAGATGCTCCTTTTTTGGTTAACAGCTTTTATACCTAAAGGCTGCAGTGGTGAGCCATGCAGTACATTGACAGACAAGTGTAAGGATGTTTCAGGAAGGCCTTCATGTCTTTGGCACCTACAT